CATGGGGGACCAACAGGCACCGATTTGGGAAGTCTTCTATATAGAGGTAGCAAGTAGCTACAAGTAGGACAGTGGGGCTTTAAATCGTATGTGTTCCCTATTTCCCGGTTTCCTACACCAGCCAAAATTCTACCTTTAACCTCAGACCTTACATATTACTGTAAACTTCAACTTATAATATTTAACACTAATAATGTAACAGCAAATTCAATGTATTCCAGAAATATGCTGATCATACATTTATTATTAATTGTATCTTCAAGGCGGCGGGTATGCATCGGCGTAGCACAACATAGCAACGTTATTATACACATTCAATATATCATATTATGTGTACCTAACCCAGGGGCGTACGCAAAGGGGGGTTTTGGGGGTTAAACCCCCCCCCTTTGGTATTTTTATGTGTGTAAACCCCCCTAAACCCCCCTAAAAAAAACCTAAAAAACTTAAACCCCCCCCCCCCCCTTTGGGTTTTTTTTTTTTTTTTTTTTTAATTATTAAAAATAAAAAGTTATGCCCACGGCTAACCTAAAAAAGGTGACCTTACCCCCCCCCCCCCCCCCCCAACGAAGAAAAATGTCAAATTTTCAAATTTCGAGACCAAAAACAAACAAAAAAGTGTCCGCTTACCCCCCCCCCCCCCCCCCCCCCCCCCCCCCCACTGAGCGACTTTTCGGCTGGCTGAGTCGTTGCGATTTTTTTTGGACTCCAAAAAAAAAAAAAAAAGTGTCCGCTTCCAAGGTGTAACGCCCGATCGTTCGCAATTCCGAAGAAAAAAAATGCTGTGAAGGATGACCTACTGAAGTCTTTTATTATTGTCTACACTTATAATAGTAAGTTGCAAATTTGAACAGAAATCTAGGCCCTGTTTCATGAAACTTGTTATCAATAACAAATTGCAATATCTATTATAAGCTAGTGAATTGATTGCATTTGATTGGCTGAGAGCAAATTTGTCATAGAAATGTGACACTTGTTATTGATAACAAGTTTTATAAAACAGGACCCAGAGTTACTTTGAGCCAGTTTGTCTGGAAGTGGGATTCCATTATGAGAACCCTCTTGCTTTAAAAAGTTGCGATATTAAACACAACTCAAAACTGGTCGGAAATTTAATTTTAAGTTCAACTTTTCATGGAAGAGGCCTTTGAATGTAATATTGATTATGAGGTTGTTTTGTTTTGTATTGTGATTGTAATTTTATGAAGTATATACAGTACCATGTTGTACTTAATTGTATGCATTTTGTTCAGGTTCACTCAAGTTGAGGATATACAGTTGGCCCCTGAAAGTTAACATGCACCTCAAAGAAACTCATTTTTACTCAAATTTTCTCAACTGCACTCATTCCTATCAGGAGTCACTCGTCTCAGAAGGATTAGTGATGTATATACTATATATATTAAACAGAGACTATATTTGTATATCTTTCAGGCCCAACTGTACATGTATGTACATCTATAATTCAAGGATTATTCCAGTACTTGATAATGTTTTTTTTTCTTCTTCGCCTTCTTCTATTTTAACTATCAGTAGATGTGTACCAAGTTGTGTGTGCCGTATGTTATAACAGGGACCAAAATTGTCTATCTTCCTTAAGTGAAAAGTTGGCAGGAATGAGCTAAGTTATGATAATGTATATCAGGCCCAACTGTGCATGTATGTACATCTAGAATTCAGGGATTATTTCAGTACTTGATAATGTTTTGTTTTTTCTTTGTCTTTTTCTAATTTAACTATCAGTAGATGTGTACAAAGTTGTGCGTGCCTTATGATTTGTATACTATAAACAGAGACAAAAGTTGTCTATCTTCCTGAAGTGAAAAGTTGGCAGGAATGCGTGAAATTCCGATAATGTATATCTGGCCCACTATGTCTAAAGTATGCAAATTATGTCTACAATTCATGGATTATTCCACTACTTTATAGTGTTGTTGTTTGCCTCTGAGGAAATGTGTACCAAGTTGTGTTATGCCTTTTGCTGAAGTGCTCATGAGATTTGATATTTGCCTTGATGCCAAGAGCTACTTGTATAGGAGGGATATATATTATGCATTGAAATTATTTCAAAATCACAATTGTTGATACAAACTGGCATGCCAGTATGTCATTACTGTAAGACATACTTATATCAGTGTATAAATCAATATTTCTTTTGAAGGTACATGATTTTTATGAGATAAATGTAGCAATAAAAGAATATTTCCAATTTCAAGAAGAAAATATTATCATTGTAGTCCAAATCAAATGATCTTATAGTTTACAGCCTTGTATTTATATCATATGCAAAGAATACCAACTTAACTGAAATGGAAATTGTATTACATCTGAAATATTAATAATAATAACTTACTGTATATAGCACCAAATTCATGCTCTGTGGAGTGTTCAAGGCGCATGCAATTAAACAAAAGCGTTTTACATGATTTTTAAAGGAATCAGAGCCTGTAATACACTTTTTGATTTCTTCAGGAAGGCTATTTCAATAAGGTAGGACACGCGTGAGCAAGGGAACTGTTCAGAGCAATCATGTTTGTGCTTATCATGTTTATGTTTACAGGGTATTTGTGCCATAAGATTAAAGGATTTGCTGTGTTTTCTTATTCCGAGTCTGAATTTGTGATTTATTTGTAAGGGTTGAATCCAGAGAGATGGGGAAGGGAGCGACGGAGGAAGGCAGGGAGGGGAAGGGAGGAGGGAGGAAGAGATGAGGGTGCATGGGGATGAGAGAGAGTGAGGGAGAAAGGATGGAGGGAGGAAGAGAGATGATGATGGGAGGGAGGGAAGTATAGAGGTGGAAGGGGGGGGGGTAATTACTGATACAGTGAGCAAGAGAATAGAATGAGAGGTGGGGATGTAGAGAGATGGATAGCCAATATGTACCAGTAAGAGAAAGGAGATCGAAATATTCGAGTATATGAGGGGTTGGGGGGGGGGGGGGGGGGTTGGAGAGATGTTGAGGTGGATAGCTAAATAGAAAAAGGAACAAGATCAAGAGAAAGATTCAGAGCATATGAGAGGTAGGGATATAGAGATGGATAGCCAAACGAGAAATAGAGCAAGCTAGAGAGAGAAAGGAGAAATGTAGTATGTACGAGAAGTAGGGGGGGGGCGGGGATAGGTACATGCAGTGCTAGTGAAGTAGAAGATGATACATGTATGACGTGGCAAAGAGCGAGTGTTTTTTTTAATGATGTAGAGTGTTATACGCATCACAGAATTAAGAATTAAATATTGATTTCCTTTGTTATATTTTACAAGATTCCATAGATTGCTTTTATAATTGTTTTTATTAATCATGTCACAACTCTGTATTTTATTATATCATGTTGTATTGTTTTGAGTACAAAATAAAATATCATTTGAAAAACAAAATCAACCTTTCTATGTTTGATTGTCCAAGGGGGTAATTTTCTTGGGGGGGGGGGGGGTAATTTTTCTTGTGGTAATTTAGCGAGGAATGTTTGTATCAAAGCGGAACGAAGTAATACCCCAATTTGGACATGCTTACACTTCCAATAGTTTTGGTGGAATTGTCTCTCATCTAACGACCATCTCTGACAGTGTTACTCTTTCCCGACAACGTGAGCTTAAGCACAGTTCTTTGCCTAGCAAAGGAATCTATTACGTAGAAGAAGAATAAGTAGAATAAGTAGAAGAAGAAGAGGAAGAAGAAGAAGAAGTAGAAGAAGGAGAAGAAAAGAAGAAGAAGAAGAAGAAAAAGAAGAAGAAGAAGAAGAAGAAGAAGAAAAAAAGAAAGAAAGAAAGAAAGAACAGGAAGGAAGAGGAGGAGGAGGTGGAGGAGGAAGAAAACGAAGAAGGAGAAGATGATGAAGAAAATGAATCTATACCACACACTCCGAGTCTAACCGTCTGTTTTACCCTTACGTCAGAGCGTAAACCTTCTTCACTGCAGCTCTCATCATTCTTATATAAGCAGATAATCTTCACTCTACTCGCGCCCCTCTCTGCTCTGCTTGATAGAAGTTCGGGCCAGTTTCATAAAACGTTTTATCTATAAAAAAATGCTTTCAAATTTAGTTTATTTTCGCAATTCACATTCATGGATTAACAGTTTATTTCTTTCAATAAAATACCCAACAAATTGTCAGGCTCTTACCTATTTTGACACTGTCCCTTTCAACTTTTCAATATTATTTGCCCCATCAGGTAAGTATTTCCAAACAATAACCATAATAGTAATAACAATCTACACTATCATATCGATTTCTGATGTCAAATATTGAAGAATTTTAGGAAGCGACAAACAAACACACAAACAAATCACATCAAATATTACAAGAATATTTATTCATGCTTTAACAACATCTAACAATTTTTATAATCATCAGTATTATTAGATAATTACATTTGTAACGCCAAATTCATACTTCAGCTATAGGCGGGGTTTAGGAGTGTTTCAACAAGCCTTTAAGTCGATCTTAAAATAACGCCGACCATTTTATTATCAAATGATCTAAAACACCCTCAAGAAGCTTCAAATATTCTTGATTTAAACTCCAACTTGAGTCTTAGTTAGTATAAAAATGTCAGAGGTAGAAAAGGTGATAGAAGTGACAATTCAGCGTCATTTAATTTCAATAGACGTGTTTCAATTTTGTTTTCACATTTCCTTTTCCTACATCAATTTAAAGAAAGAACAACAAAAAACAAATAAGCATAATAACCCGACCCGACCCTGCGCTTGATGTCAATGTTTGTATTTCAACCCAATTTAATATTTGTTCGACCTTAATTTATATAGGCGTTTTGGGGCAATTCCATGTCATTTTCTATTTGTGCGTATTGTGTGGTATAAGGTATATCAGATTGGGGTTTTATTTTTGAGATACCACATCCCCTCATCCCTGTATCTGCCGATGTATACATCTTGAACTTTCGTGGCACTATCACCCTCTCGGAGCTGATCATCAAGTCAGATAGCTTCGCCAAGTTTTACCGGGTTTGACCGAGTTTTTATCGGGTTTGACCGAGTTTGACCGAGTTTTAATCCCCCACCCCCTCCACCCCAGCCCGTCGTTCCTAGAGCTGCCACAATGTCTCTCACATTCACTACCATCCTTTCACGCTAACTCATTCAAACAAACTTTCTAAGCCAGTCACCCCTTCTTCGCGGTATCTCTTGGCGACCCACCTCCGCACACTCTCGCTTGTCGGGTACCGCAGTTTCGGTTTCTCCGCTTCGACGCACTCCACAATGACGTCGATGACCGGTTCGGTCTGCTGGGCGGCGAACAGGTCAGGCTTGTGGAGTAGGAGTCGGAATGCCGTCATTTGCTGCATAGGATAATGATAATAATAAAAGTAGCAATAATAATAGTAATAGCTTCTATAATAATAAAGATAAGAAGTAGAAGAAGAGAAGAGGAAGAGGAAGAGGAAGAAGTAGTAGAAGAAGAAGAAGAAGAAGAAGAAGAAGAAGAAGAATAACTACATTTATTGCGTACATCCATCTATACTAGAGGATGCTTAAGGCGCCTAGTAATACTGTACGCTTAGCACAGCTGCTCTAAGGCGCTGAAACCATTCTAAGAAAAAAATCCTCCCAGGTACCCATGCACTTACTAAAACCCTTTTCAAGTGTGGCAAATATAGATTAATACAGGGACTTTTAGATTCGCAGACGAAGACAATGGGGATTGCTACGATCGACGTCCTGTTTATGCACTGCCTTGAATGGACGTCACACGTATCAGTCCACGCAAATCTAAAAGTCCCTATTAGTGCCCGACGGTCTATAGTGACGTATCCACTAGACCACGAAATTTCTTGACAATAAATGACAGGCATGCGCATGGAAGTACAAAGAACATTTTGAGCTAATACAGATTATAACAAATGAATTAAAGTTGAAAAACAAAATGAAAAGGCAATACTACTTTTTGTTCAAAGGCATCGTTTAAACGATGTAAAATCTGAGATGCATGGTATATATACGTGTTATCAGTGTCTGTGATATGGTGTAATATTGAAGCCCTAAAATAATTGCGCTTCAAAATGATCATGAAGTGCCTCAAAAAAAAAATTAGTGATCGGTTTTACCATACTCATTTCCCCAATAGTCTCTAGTGTTATGAAAAACGGTTAGGAAAACGAATTTTTAAATTTCTATTTCCAATCATAACTATCTTGATAATCAGACAGGCGATCGGCTCCTAAAAGTGCACGGGTTCCTGACTGACCTCAATATTTATAAATATCATTGCAGCATGAGCTAAATCCAGGATTTTGTTGCATAATGTGAGACAAAGTAACCCGATCCCTTCAAGAAATGAACTATGATTATTTATGGTTACGACGAAAACGATTTCTCACCTTCACCGTTTCTTCAGAAACGTCTTTGTTGTCTTCTTCTGTGCCGGCGTTCGCGGCCAAAGCTTCACCAAAGTTGGTCGCCACTGGTCCTGGCTGGACTGTACTGATGCTATAAAATACGAAGTATTTAAAGGAAGAAAAAAATATATAATACCTTGCGTGGGTAATTATTATACTAATGCCCTCACAGCTGTGTATTATTTTTATACTATCTACAACTGTGCAGAGAAGGACAAATAAAGGCTAAACATTTTACCCAAGGATGTAAGCACCGGATGAGGATTGAACCTAGAACCTCTTGTCAAGAACGCTCACCATAATATACCACAGTACCTCCATTAGAGTTATAACTTAATCTTTGTTTGTGTGTGTTTATATTCATTTTACGTCTTGGGGAGGGGGGGGGGGGGGTATTAGTAGAGTTTTTTCTTTAACAAAAAATATCAAACATCTCAAGGTGTCCATGTTAAGTTGACGAATTTCTAGCATATCTAATCAGAAAATGCCAGCAGTGGATATTATTCATTCGACTTTATTTTCAAATTTGATCGTGTAACGGCTTGTTCAGATATATATGTCGCGAAAAATCGCCGCAAAAATATACATATTTCATTTTTAAAAGAGTAAACGAATGGCATGCAACTCAAGAACAGTGCGCGAAAAATGTCCAGTTTTGCATGTATTCACTCAGCTTTGTTTATTTGTTAATTTATTTATTTAAATACGCCCCGGGATCGAAATGACCGCATGCGTGTTACCAACATGTCCGGTAAATGGGTACTTTTCACGTACCGGCAAAGTCCGGCTCGTAGTACACAAGATTCACCGGACTTAGGGGGTGTTTTCAAAAGGAGAGAACACGCATATGCGTACCCTAAATAACACTGAGTGGGGGGGGGGGGGATACGGTAAAATGTGACGCGTATTATACTTTACATCACCAGTCGGAACTCATCATAAAGAAAACCGCATCAGTTTGCCGTGTCATATCTGAACAAACCTTTACACTCAAGTCATCATAAAAAGTAAAACAAAGTCGGTTTTGATACCACGTCATGACCGAACTAGGCTTCATTTTTAATAAGTTCAATGGGATAGCACGTACCTTATACCAAAGTTTTTAAGCTGTGGCAGTAACGATTCACTAAGACCCTCCATCGCAAACTTGGACGCATTGTACATATCCATGTAAGGCAAAGCTTCAGAGAGATATATATATAGAGAGAGAGAGAGAGAGAGAGAGAGAGGGAAAGAGAAAGAGAGAGAGAGAGAGAGAGAGAACAAAAAATTGAACACGACCGCAAAGACTTTCGAGAAATCAACTCAAAGGCGATTTCAATTTTCAATACCTTATCACTTATAAATTAAGAATCTTGTTCGGATTAGCCTACGTATATAAGGCTTTTCTCATGTTTGCAAACCAAATCGACCTTTGATATATTCGTTAAACCCAACTCGAACCCTTTGTTGATTTTACGAGTTATGCAATCACAAAACTAATACACCGTGTGGCACAGCTATCAGTATCTAGTAAGCCCTCCAAAAAGCGATCTTAAAGTCATTTTTAGGATTGGTCTGGTTCGGTTTGGTTTCCGCATAAAAAAGATATACATACATATAAAAACGAACAAACAATTATAAAAAGCAAGTTTACGACTGGATAGCTCTATTCAGAACCATTTAACACAATGGCTCTGTTTTTTTTCTTCTATAGGTACAAAAAGAGAGAAGTACAAAACTTTATAAAAAAAAAATCAAATTATAATATAATACAACATATGAAGTAATATGATTATAATTATTCCATAGTATAAATACACATTCGAAATCGACATCGATCTTAATTGAAGAAACCCATATAAATCTATCAGTGGCGGATCCAGGGGGGGGGCCCGGGGGGCCCGGGCCCCCCCCCCCTTGAGAAAAAAATCATGTAAAATCACGTGATTTTTACCTTTTTGGGGGGTTGGGCCCCCCCCCTGGCGCTCAAGGGGGGGTGCAAATTGAAATTTTTTTGAGGATCAAAAAAAAAAAATGTGCTCACTACCCCCCCCCCCCCCCCCCCCCCCCCCCCCCCCCCCCCCCCCCCACTGAGCGAAGTTTTGGCCGGCGCGTTTTTCAAATTTTCGGGAGCAAAAAAAAAAAAAAAAAAAAAAAAAAAAAAAAAATGTGCTCTGTACCTCCCCCCCCCCCCCCACTGAGCGACTTTTCGGCCGGCGCGATTTTCAAATTTTCGGGAGCAAAAAAAAAAAGTTGGGCCCCCTCCCCTAAGAAATCCTGGATCCGCGCCTGAAATCTATCAAGACGATGAAATGGAGAATGGAGCAAAAAATTAAAAACTACTCGTACTCACCAAGATGTCCAACAACGCTACTGATATTCACGATGCGACCAGATTTCTGTTTCTTCATGATAGGCAGCGCTGCTCGTATCAACCGCACCGTGCCAAAATAGTTGGTGTCAAACATATTCTTAGCTTTCTCCATACTCATCGCCTCCAGCGCCCCGAAGAAACCAAAACCAGCGTTATTTACTGTGAAAAGAAATAAGAAAGGAGGAAGAAGGGAGAAATAAATAAAAGAATAAGTAATCGACCTGTGCGTACAAACTTTCGCTCCAATGCAGACCCATTTCGATTGACTTTTTATGTGGCTCGTAGTAAGGCAGGAGATCGCACATTCACTGTTGCAGCAGCTAAGGAGTGGAATAAGCTTCCCTCCAGTATAAAAGCTGCTCCACCAGTGGATGTTTTTAAAAAACTCCTTAAAACCTATTTATTTCCTACTTGATTCGCTATTATTTTTGTTTATTCAATGTGATGTTAAGATTTGTGGTTATATTGTTATATTGCATATTATTGTAAGCGCTGTGATATAGTGTATTATGAATAGCGTAGCTAAATGCCTAATAATGATAAGAAGAAGAAGAAGAAGAAGAAGGAGAAGAAGGAGAAAAAGAAGAAGAAGAAGAAGAAGAAGAAGAAGAAGAAGAAGAAGAAGAAAGAATGAAAGAAAACAGATGAAAATAAATAATGAAACAAAAACAGAATGGAAGAAAAAGAGAAATAACGAATAAAAGAAAGAAATAAGGTTTTCAAACGGTTTTCAAATGTTTCGTTTCAATGCGTTGTGAGCCCACGTACAATGATACAGATCCAATATGGTCATAATACCAGTAAAATAATAGTCTGGATTTGCTAAACAAAATGTCTGAAGTATGGGTTTTTGAGGCGGTTTCCCCGTCATATCCGGAGCCTAAAGAGAAAGTAAGCTGAAAGTAACACAATGCATACAAGTTTGTTGAACTGCTTACACTGACAATACAATATGTTTGTATTATACACTTAGTTTGCATGCACATACTCTTGCGCCAGTCACTGTATGTAACTGCAATGTGAGACTATGAGACAGCATACTACTTATATGCTATGTACTTCAGCTGCTTTAGACCATGTTCAGACACAGCCAGAGACCCGCATACCTAGGCTCTGTTAAATGCTTCATGAACTGTGGTAAATAATCGAATTAGAGTCTGTCCCTGCAAACTAGTCTACACTCACCCAGGACGTCGACACGCCCGTGTTTCCCCATAATGAACTCGAAGATGCTCTTGACCTGATCATCGACGGTGACGTCGAGCTGCCGAACGAAGAGCGTCTTGTCGAGGGCATCGTCCGCCGCCTTCTCGAGGCCTTTCTTCTTAGCCAGATTCCTCATGGTGGCATAGACCAGGTACTTCTTGTCTGGGTCCTGGGCCAGCCTGACGGCTAGGGCCAGACCGATACCGGTCGAACAGCCGGAGATGAGTACGACAAGAGGGGCCATGGTGTTCCTGAGAGGATATAGAAATGAAAGGAAGATTGGAAGGTTAAATATAATCTTCGGTGGAAGGTGCTCTAATAACCGAGTGACCCCACACCCGAAAAAACAGTCAGCTTACCCTCACACAAAATGTTGAATAGTATACCAATAGTATACCATTCGGAAGTACCATTGAAAATACCATACGGATACCATTCACAAACACCATTTAAATACCATTTTGATACCATTGAGATAACGCTTGCGACATACCATATAGGGCACCATTTAAATACCATTGTGATACCATTGAGATAACGCTCGCAACGTACCATTGGGCACCATTCATTTACCAATGAAATACCATTCAACCTATTAAAAACATTGTGGACGCTCATTTGCATAATCACTATTAGTAGATGACTGGTGCCATTTACATTACTGAAATTTGAATATGAAATATCCAAATTTTTGTACCATTTATCTACCCTTATCCTAACCTAAATAAAGCCCAATCCCAACCCTACCCTTAACCGTAAGGCCTATAACAAAGCGAAACCTTCGAGCCCGGTGCAATTTTGTCAGAGGAGTTAAAGTCACGGACGACTTGCGACGGAGTTGAACAGTCAAAATTGTATCGCAATAAAAACGCTAATAACAGTACAGTGAGTTAGATAACAATCGCAACGATTTAGAGGAGAGATGGGAGATGGTTACTTTGCGCCGATTAAATGGAAAAAATTGCGATCGATTTTGATCCAATGCAACATTTTTCTTAAATATCTAAATGGTAGTTCTTTGTAACCGTCTGCGTACAAAGTGTCGTTAGCTTAAGACTCCATTTTATATAAACTAAAATTCTCACAAATTTAAAAGTGTTGTAACCAAACCTTGTATCTTTCAGAGAATTACATGACATAGCATAGCATAGTATACGGCATCTGCAAGAATCTTCAGTATTGAAGAAGGCAGATCAGTTATCTTGAAGAAGAAGAAGCACGATTGCATTTAGCTGAACTATAGAACATACTAGATCTAAATTATACTAAAGCCTGCAAATGATAAGAAACATTTGAAGACAACAAAATATACAACAAGATACGGATACTTACAGAATGCTGTTGCGTCGACGGTCAGCTTCAAGAATGGACTGTAAATCAAAGCCGTCGGTGTACGATCAGCTTTATAAAGCAAACACGTCCACCTTACGGTGAAGCGTTATTTGCATTCAGGACTTTGTGTTTTCCAGTTACGTAATTATGAACGTTCTCGAAATAAAAGATAAGATTCGAGTTTGTTCTACAGCTTTGCCCCGCCGTTAAAGTCTAAACCATTACGAAAACCGCAAAAAATGGGACACGAATCATGAGGCAGGACTTTTTAACGTTGTAACTTTGCAAAGATTTATGGTAGATAGCCCCTAGCTCCATTTGTTTACAGTAATATATTGTGCGGGGTTTTATATGCATGCAGTTAATCATTTAACAAAAGAGTATTTGAACCCCAGGTCGAAATTCCATTAGGATCCGATCCTATTGGACCATCAGAAACCATTAGAGCTATTGGTGTCTAATGGTTTCAATAGGGAAAGTGAAATGATGGACCCACAGAAACCATTAGAAAATATCTATTGGACCAACACAAACCCAGAGAAAGAAATGCTGATGGACCAACAGAAAGCTTCTATTGGACCAGCATCCACCCATGTCTTCTATGGGTTTCTGTTGGTCCATTAGATATTTTCTATGGGTTCCTGTTGGTCCATTAGAGATCTTTCTATGGGTTTCTAATGGTCTCATATTCTGAATTCCCTATTGAAACCAATAGTCCAATGGCTTCTATTGGTAGATCAATAATGATTAATCAAAATCGATTTTAGCAACTGTCCACCAAAAAAAGTATATTCAAATCTCAATTGCATTAACTTCATCACATAGATCTAGATCACTTGAAGTCAGTTTAAGAATATCCTTTATTGTAACTTGTACTATTCTATATAATAAACATACATGAATTGTTTCTTGGTTAGTAATCTTATAATCAATATATCTATTGCTAAAACGTGAATGAAATTGTAACATGATTAAACAAATAATCTATTGGTCATTAGTTGCTGAAAGAAAATAAAAATCACAAAATTGATGTACATTGTCATAAGTTGCTTAACAAATTATGATAAATGTAATTTTCTGTGAACACGTATAAAGTAATCATGAATATGCATGAGATAGAGTTAGCTGTTGGTTTCTATTGGTTTCTATTGGACCTATTGGTTTCTATTGGTCCCATTGGGTTCTATTGGTCTCATTGGTTTTCTATTGGTCCTATCGGTCCTATTGGTCCTATCAGTTATATTGGTTTATATGCATGGGTCTTATTGGTTTATGTTGGTCCTATTGGTTTTATTGGTCTTATTGGTTTTATTGGTCCTATTGGTTTCTATTGGTCTTATTGGTTTCTATTGGTCCTATTGGTCCTATTGGTTTCTTTTTCTATTGGTTTCTATTGGTTTCTGATGGTTTGAATGGTCTCTATTGGATTCAATTCTATGGGTCCAACAGAAACCATTAGAGACCAATAGAATTTGTCTAATGGTCTCTATTGGTCTCTATGGGATTTTCGACCTGGGACGGGGGAGGGGATTGAACTACCGTGGAGGTGAACTGGGGCAGTGCTAGGGGTAGACTAGGACAGTCAGGGAGAAGTGGGATAAACTCTTAAAAATGCTAATCACAATTTTTAGAGGGAATTGTCCCAAAGTAAGTGCTTGAAATATCAAAAGTAATAAATCACTTTAAAATAGCCAACTTTCATAGTCACTTCTAAATGGTTTGTTGTTTTCTAAATATCGCACAAAGTTCTGGATAGTAATTGAAGAGTTTAAAGGGATTACAAGTCTCTTTTTCCGATTGCATTCGTTCGTCCATTTAGAGGTTGATATGATGTATTTTTCAAGTAAGTATTGATTGTTGGTATTTAAATGACAGAAACTAGAATTCCACTGAGTACTGCTCAGTTTGTTTATTTTATTTCTAATAAAATACAAATACCATATTAAATATTATGCAAAATTCATACAAAACATTATAACATTTGAAGTAAAGACCAGTCATTACAAAAATGTAAACCTTTCAAACAGAAAAAGGAGAATAATTACAATGCAAATGTAGTAGTACGCTCATTTGGGCTAAAGGGGGCGCTAGAGCCATATAAGAGCCGAGCTGGGTTGATTAATTGTATTCACCTAAAAGTTAAATAACATTAATTATGTTTCCAATAGTATGCCGGGAACGGGTAAACAACCCCTGGGTTTGAATTCTTGCATTAGATTAAAGTGTTCATTTCGAAAAGCACGTTGGAAATGAATTCCTGCATCAAGATGTACAGGTGTTCATTTCCAATAACAAGTTAGACAATAGACTGTTTTGCCGGGGACGCGACATTCTCGCGAAGAGATAGACTCCTCCCATTTCTGTCGGTGACTAGATCAGATAACACTCATCTATTATGCTTTGTCATTGGTTATAATTAATTAAAGGTATAACTCCTCAATTAATTGGTCGGATGACCTAAAGGGTAATTGGATATATCCCGTCTTGTAATTGGTTGGCTTCGTAAGAGCCCTCCTGGTTGGCTGGCAATATCATGTAATATCTAAGCCTCATCGGGTGCCGCGGTATTTAAATGCGAGGTGCGGGATTTTGAAGGGAGTTTTTAGTTGATATTATTTGAAAGTAGATATTATTTGAGAGTTTTATTTCATTCCTTTACCATGTTCAGTAGGATGTGCTGCTAATTTCAATCAATAGGGCCGCCCAGCCTCTGAGAGAAGCAGTTTATTTACCATGTTCAAATAATAATAATACTCGTCGTTTGCAACGATTGAAGCTTCGGCTGATATATATATTTAATAAAGTGGACTTCAACTGTAATTCCGAGCTTCCTGTGTTTCATTTATGTTTGAACTTGTCATCTTCAACTCATTTACTGGCCCACCACATTTGGTAGTACGGATGGGGTCAGCTTTCTTTCGTTAACGGCGAAGTTTGCCGTTGGCTTGCTAGCGGTTACCGCTGGTTCGTCCTGCCGACCCACCACTCGAACTCGATATCATTTGCTCGGAACACAGAAGTATTTTTGAGTTGCTGCTGCTGAACTGTTTTTCACCGGTGGAGTTAGCGACAGATTATCGTGGCGCTTATTGCAGGGCATGTTTTTTTTATGTGGCTCCAGCGGAGTAGTCCAGTACGAATAGGGCCAACGGGTAATTGGAGGCCCTTCTTGGAACACATTGCACATTCTTCTCGGTGAATGTGATTGGGATCACCACGGAGAGAGAAGTTTCCCCGAGACCCCCCTCTTACCTGTTACCAACACGTCCGCGATGATGTGCCTTCCGTGATGTCCAGAACGTTTGGTATATACTAATGAAAAAATTGTTTAGTCGACTGCCCCACCAGAAATATTCTGCAAACCATTTCTGCGTGGGCGATCTGATACGTATTACCTAATGGAGGTTCCCCGTACAGGAGTTACTCAAAGTCTGGCTGATTCCTCTGGACCTGGTTTGTCAGCTGGCCTGGCACCCGAAGTACGCGCGTATCGGGAAGCTCGCGGGGGAAACCAGTTACGCCGATGCCTCGTCACGATACTCAACCCTGCTAGTAGCGTGGACGCAATTGAAGGAGATGTTCTGATACTTCGATTGTTGAGCTGAACTTGGGTTTTTTGGTCTGCAACGCCAAGTTCGTAGGGAGCAACCTTCGGCGGGGGACAAGTTGAGCTGAGGTATGTTTTGAAACCAAAGATGTTGGCAGAAGTTGCAAAGTGGACAGTGAGAACTGAAATGAACTGATAAATTGAAACGTCCTTTGAATCTTGATATTTTTGGATTGATGTCTTAGATTTTTTGAAATTATTGTAGTGTAAGACTAAGTGTTGGAATATTGTGTGTTGGTGAAATTATTTGTACCCGTTTGCTCTTCAAATTTTGGCTAGCATTAATGTAAGCATAGGATAGTTAATTTAAACTTAAACCTACGTTTAACCTAAATTAGTATAATATAAGCACTTAATATTAATAGTTTCATAATGATTGAAATGGAAAAGTTAGTAACCGGGCTAACCCAAGCTTTACAGGGTTGTAGGTTTACTACATCCGGTCCAGTAAAATTACGCAAATTTCATGGTAGTCCTACTCTGCCCGATGACCCGACTTTAAAGGAATGGCTAGAAGACGTAGAATTTTATTGTGATCAAGCACATATTCCAGAAAGCCAACAACCTTCTGTTATTCTCGCACACTTAGAAGGGTCTGCCAGGGCTGAGGTTAGGTGCCATTCAGGTATCGAGAAAGATAGAAAAAAATTGATTCAGATATTGGAACAGTATTTTGGCCCCAGAGAAACTGTCCAATCTTTACAACAGGCTTTTTACGATAGGGTGCAACAAGATAATGAATCTTTGGTCGAGTTCTCACGAGAACTTATTCAATTATACGACCGTGCGGTTGATAAAGCTTCTAAAACAGAAGCACAAGCTCTCAAGGTTTTGCGAGATAAGTCATTGATAGGGCAATTTGTTGCGGGAACCAAACACCCAAGTTTTCGTTTAGAATTAAAACGAATACAAATGAGTTCGGAAGAACAATCCTTTGAAGATGTGAGGGAAGTGGCTTTGGGGTTGTTGGGTGAATTCGAGACTCCTAAGGGTAGGAGGGGAGTGGTCAGAGAACTTCACCTTGGTTCTATTTTAGAAGATCAGAGTCAAGCACCACAAGGTGCAAGTGGAGATAACTTGGCCATTAAACTCCTATCAGCAATGGAAAAATTGCAACAAAGTTTAGATCAATTGTTGCGTCAGAATTCCTCCACTTCCCAATCTCCACCCAATTACCTTCCAAATAACACATCTCAATCTCAATTAAGCAAGGGTGCTTGCTGGCGTTGTGGGGGGTTTGGTCATTGTGCGAGATCCTGTTCAGTAATTGTAGAGAAAAGAGTTAGCCGAAGCCGATGGCAGGGAAAGGGTCGTTCTCGGCCACTACCAGGGGCCAGGTAAAAATTTGGAAGAAAATGAAGTATGTATTTAAAGTAAATTGATAAAGAAAAGTCCCAAGGCTACTGTTTTGTTAGCCAATACTCCTTGTGAGTGCATTTTGAACTCCTAAGGGTAGGGTGGGAGTACTTGTAGTTAGGTCAT